CCTTTCATATTTTCTCAAAAAGAAAAAATTTAGGAGCATAACTCTACATTAATTTTCTACATCCAGGGCTGCTTGGTTAGAGATCAATAGTATTGGGAAAATTTTTACTAAAAAGTGAAAACAGGGTGAATATTTGAAAATATTGTATAAAAAATACTGTGTTTTATAATAAAATTTTGTAAATCTTTTTATGTTTGTTAAAAAATTAATATTGAAAAGATATTAAGTAAGTCTCATGTTAAAAAAGTTACGAGAAAAAATTATTTTAAAAAAAATGTAAAATGAAAATATTATTAAATTATATTAAAATATAAACATTAAAAATATAAAATTTACATTCTTTTATTATAATATTAAATTGTAAAAATACGAAAGTAATTCTAAATAATTCAAGTAAAGAGAGGGTTGGGTAAAAACTTTAATTTCCTTCAATCCAAAGCACCCTTCGAAAGATTAATTTGCCTGAATGATAACCAAAGACTCGATATTTTTTTTTTCGTTGTGAGAAATAGAAATTGTATTTAAAATGATGATATCAAGATTATAGATGAATCTTTATACTGTGATTTATAAGCAACATATTTTAAACTAAGAAAAAAGTAACATTGTATCGACAACTAGACATTTTTAAGTTCAATTTAACAACATTGATATGTAATTATAATTATAAATTTTTTAGTTTTTTAATAATATTTTATTAAAATAAATTAATTTTAAAATATTTTTTTATTTAATTTTTTATAATACAGGTGAATACTTTTTTTTTTTTTTTGTATGTAAAAGAAAACTCATGTTGCCGTCGAGTTTAGTGCCAATAAGGGTTTCAGGTGCAGGCTTAACAAATATTTTTTTTTAATATAAGGAATGAAATACATTTTGATTGGATTATTTCATGCATTTAAATTTTTTTTATTTAGGGTGTTTATGCGTACCTTGTGATTATTTTTTTAAAATTTAATTAAAAATAAATTATTCACACTAAAATAAAAAAATTTCATAAAAAATTATTTTTTTATTAATCCCTTTTCAGAATCAAACTTAATCAACACGAAAATACAAAAAGAAACATCCTTCTTATCTAAGTCACGAACCACTTTCTTAAAATTTTTTTTCTTTAAAGAGGGAAACTAGGTAAATCAACTTTTGAGAGCAATTATATATGAAGAGTCCTATGAATGAAGCTTTCTTGAGCTTTTCTAGAATTGTGTTGCTAGTTTACCGTGTTGTACCGCTCGTTGGTGTTCTTTTGTTTTTTCTTCCTTTTACTCTCCTTTCACCAACCCATTTTCCTTTACTCCTGTACAAATCAACCCATTTTTCTTCCTCCTCCTACAATTCAATTCAACTACACTTTTCTTCTTCTTCTGTTTCTTTTCTCCCTTTTTTTTTTTTCTTTCCTTAGGTTTCTTGTCCTAACTAGTCCACAGACGAGGTGTGGAGATGCGCAAGAAGAATAAGAAACAGGAAAGTCTTCAAGCCATAAATCAAGCCACCCTAGCCACGCATCACGGAAATGGTGTTTGTCATTTTCAAAAGTAGATTGATGGAGGTCTAGATAACTAGATTATAATGGAATGTTTGGCCAAAGGATCATATTAATTGTAGTAGTAATAGTTCCCTCAAATTTTGTTTGTGTGACATTTCAAAGCTTTTTATTAATATTAAAACGGTGTTTGAAAGTAATCTCTACTCTTATTTTTTTTTTTTTATTATGTTCTTGAACAGTGGAAAACTTATGTTTTTATCCAAAGAAGGGACTTTGGGATTTGATCCAAGTCTCATTAGTCGTACGTACGTCCGCAAGGGGTGGTCAATAGACCACCATGTGCGGGACTTCTCTACTCTTATTTCTTTATCTTTCATTCACGCTTAAAATGTATTATG